GTCTCGAAGTGTGGATACGACGACGTTTCGCTAACATGCTCTCTCGCTGGATATAGTGCCGATGTGATGGACCAAGCAAAGCAGTACGCATAATTATTTTGCACATTAACTACGCCCTTCTTGGTTTCAATAAACTTGGGTAGCTTTATGTGCGAGCAGCCGCCTAATGGAGAGTACTTATTTATATTTACTTCTAAAAATAGTACTTCCAGTAACGACCAGCCTGAAACAACGAATAATTTATTAGTTAACGCCCTATTATACACTATAAAAACTACAATACCTGAATCCTTATGTTGAAAGTCTACAGTTTGAGATACCGCCGCATCTTTAAAGTCCGCATATGTCGCATCCAAATCCGCCGACAAATCTAGTATTCGATTTATGCTATTAAAAGATTTGATTTCAGAAATATCTTGACTCTGCAATACATATGTAGCGAAGACCTCTACATTAACTTTAATGGCATTATGGACCCTCAGAACAACTTTTAACAATTCCAATACTCTACATTTTACCGCATCAAAAAATGTTACATAATCTATATGTTTTTTATCACTTTTGACTCTGTAACTTGCAATTCTGCACTTAAACGCACTCTGAATTAAATATATACCATCTGCATGAATTGAGCAGGCTTTTTCTTTATGGTCAAGGCTCTTCATATGCGATGACATCTGGTTGGTAGGGATGTCTACATTACATGATTCACATCTCCCATTACGCGCTTTTTTTACTGGTAAAACATCAGGGCTGGAATTGGTAGATCTTTTCGTACCACGCGATGATTCACTGGTGCGATTAGATATTAGCTTACAACTTTTATTTTGATGTCGATGTAAATTATCTATCCTTGTAAATGTTAAACCACAATTACACTTATACATGTCTATTATTTTTATGATAATTTCGATATTAGATAATGGAACTTACAACGCGCTTAAAGCTCACGAGTTTTGTACTGATTTCATTTGAATATGGGTGCTACTATATATCCTCTCTAAAATCTCCACCTCTCTTATGCTCCCCTCCCCTATTCATAATATACAAGTCTGAGAGGCGCTCGCAAATTGTGTTAAGAATGGGGTACTATCCCTTCCACCGATGTTTACGTCGTGCGTGTCTGCTGGAGACTTGCGCTTCACTCTAGCTATGACGGTTGAGAGTCAAGGATGTGTTTCGGTATGCTCCGACCTATTTCCCTTATGCTACAATAGTAATCACTCATATGTACTTGAATTGAACCCATTACACTACATGATATACATGGCAATTACTATCTAAGAGGTACTTACTATGCTCGTTACACGCTACTCGATATACATAGTAAATACTTATATCTATATGCGTATGAAGTAACTACACTTATTACACTATGCAATTACACTATGCAATTACACTATGCAATTACGCTATGCAATTACACTATGCAATTACACTATGCAATTACACTATGCAATTACACTATGCAATTACGCTCATTGGGAGGTACTTGCTAATTGCGCGAAGGGTGGGGGTGGGTACTTATGATAATTACTAATTACCTCTCATTACCTCCCGTCCAGAACTGGCCAATCACAACTACTAAGATAGGCTAAGATACTACTAGGTGAATATAACTAGAAATGATTGGAAGCCTGTATCTGCCTGAGCAAGAACAGGCTCGCATTTTGACAGGGATTCTTACTGAGCATTGCCAACTCAAAGGACACCTCAGTAAACTAAGAGTAGTAGAAGATAGCGAGGACACTTTCTGTGAGTCGGAGGACGAAACCCCCATTCACATTCTGACTGAATGTGTTGCACTCCAGAATCTAAGGGCACTATACCTATAAGCAATGTCACATGTTTTTTGAAATACCCTTTATAATTATTTGGGAATAGTTTTATTATTACTTTCATAATATTTAGCATTTTTGCTTTACGGCTTAATCAATACATTTTTGTAAATGTTTTAAGGATACTAAACACTTTATAAATTTACCATTCGTTCTTTATGACTTGTTCAATACATTTGTGTAAATGTTTTAAGGAAAATAAACGCTTTTTAAATTTTAGTTATTTTATTTTTATTTAAGAAAGTACCTATTAGAATAATACATATTCTTTTAATCTGGCATATATATTTTATTCATTCCGTATTTGAAAAGATATATCATATCAGGTAAGTATTCATTAAATTTTATACATATCAAAATTACTACGACCACTTTAAACAGTTATACAGAGCAGTTATATATGTAAAGTGACAGAAATACTTAGAAGGGAATCCATCCTCTCAAATGTGACAATGAGAAAATAAAATAACTCTAAATCAATCCCAATCAATCCCATATATGTCCGAATCATTAATCACCCTGTAAGGGACAATATTTTAATTAAAGTAGTTAAGTATGTATTTTGACTATACATAATGAGCAAATAACTGCCAAATATATTTAAGGGAAATTTATGGTGTCCATTTTAAAGAATTAGGGATTTATAACTTTAACACCCTGTATCTCAAAATCTAGACATAGGATACGATTGGGCCCATGGACACTTTTGATGGGGACATCAAGTAATTTAACATATCAAAAATTCAGACATTTTGACGGTACTCCCGTTTGCATAAGAAAAGTGCGTGGTCCTTTCGTCTTAAACCATTTTTTTAAATTTTCTGTATTCATATTATTATGGCAATCCCCTCTTTTTGTTTGACTTTTAAATATGAGGTATCCATTTTTTTATAAATACTTCTTCATTGCCACCATGGACAATTAGGCATTCCAAACTGAATGGCTACCAGTGGGTTTTGACAGTGGTTTTGACGGGTTATGATATGGCAAAATTATGGCAACCCTGTAGGCCTGGTGATTTGACAAGGTCAATGAAATAGATAGTTACATAGATTGATTATCCATATTTTTCAAAATAAACATAAGCGTATGCCTTGAAGTAAAAATGTAAGCAATTATTTTTTTTTAAATATCTGAAGGCTAAAAATTGGTTTTAAAACACATTTTTGCTAAACCGATTCAAATTAATAAATATTTGCCAGGCAATATGGCCACTCGTAAACGACCAGCTTTGAGCAATCTATATAACTATATATGTATCATTGACCTGTTAATGACAACATGACAACAGGGTTGCCATATCTAAACTGTCATTACCCACTGGTAGCCATTTGGACAGGTCGTTAGAATGCCTAATTATGTATCAAATTCCATCTCCTGTTTTTTACTTGCAGTAGCCACCTTGCCAACTTTTTCTGTCACTTCCCTTGCTATATACCCACGTCTCATCAATAAATACAGGCTTAAAGTTACCCAACTATATTTTTCAAAAACGACATTTTTTTAACTGAATCGATGTTTGTTCCAATAAAAACTGTTATTACTCCTTTTAAAGCGAAAGCCAACTTTTAGAATCCATGTATTAATCGATTATGCAGAACATTTTACATCAGAAATTTCTTCCGAAAATCGTTTATGTAACGATTTTATTGTTACATATTGTGCACCTTCGTACATCTTATATATAACTTGCCTCAACTTACTTAATATTTAAAAATTGACTTTTGTTCTACTTTGGCTTACTTTTGTTTACATTATTTTCACATACTCTGTATCAGAATTTGTTAGTTTACTAAGTCTGTAGATGGTTTTCTGCACAATATTTAATGCCTTTGCAGCTATTCGATTGTATCTCTTTCCAAGAGTTTCGCAAATATATTTATCTCGTAAAATAGGAAACTACGTTTAAGATTAATGTTTTTGATTAATCACTAAATCATTTCACTATTTTGTTGAATACTTATAAAAACTTTTGGAATACCAAAAAATACAAATTTTTAACAAATTGATATATTCAAAATTATTTTCATAACTGCCACCTGTCATAATAATATGATGTAATTAATCTATGACGTGCCAAAATCTAGTATCTTTTTGTTTCATCCATTTTACATTTAAACAGTAAAGAAAGCGAATGGACCTGGGATATTTCCGAGATTTTATCTGCATCGGCAACACACATATAAGTATGCTTGCATCATTACACCAGTTTAATAAACCATGTCATCGGCTGATGACGACAACTCGCTAACCGCTGTTGCATCAGTTCTAATTAAACAAAAGGAAGAAACGTACAATCAGAGTGGCTAAAAAACAAGGAAACCTGTGCACATATAAATTTTTTAAGTGAATTGAAATTATATCTTCGTAATTGGCATAGTTGCAAGGTCATTGTAAGAGCTGTCGCCATCTATTAGTTTACATAGCAAGTAATAGAAGAATTTAATTTTAAACGAAACTATACATTTGTCGATTCGGCAATGTGGCAAAAGCTACGGTTTGTTAGGACAGTGAGCGACGCTCGACGTACGCGTACGGCAGAATCTGTCGCGTTCGACTCACGTCAGTTAACAGCTAAGTAATAGATCTCGCGGTGGAATGCCCGGCAGCAAGCAAGAAGAAACCGTAAGCCGAATTTCAAGAAAGTGGGAGCAAACTTTTTTCTATTTACTTTTGATGTAAATAATATCGGAAAGTTTTAAGTATGCGCTTTTATGAACAGCATTTTCTACACATGCTTTTCTAAGACATCGACGTCAAGGGCTCCTTTGTTGCAGCGACTGCAGAAAAGTATTTCCATCTTTTACAAGTTAAGATTACATCAAATATTTGTAATTTTGTCATTTAAAAACAATACACTAAAAAGTGTCACTGGTTCCCCTACCAATAATAAAAGTTAAACACAAATAATCTACATCAAACTTAGGATAGGAAACAGTAACAAACATTTTTTATGGTTTTAAAAGAAATTAGGATTTGCACATTAGTAATAGAGATCACATATAAGTTCTATTTCATTGATCGTGTCCGATCTTTTCATTAGATATGCAGAGAACACAGTTTAAAAACTTTACTGTAAAACAATCTGAAATTGAGCCTACATTTAGTGAAAACACGTGAATTGGGCTTTTGTAAAAAAAGTGAAACTCGATTAATTATAAAGCATTTATTAGGCATTTATCTATTTTTAAATTAGCATTAAGTACATATACACCAATCTATCTATATAACGGGAAGAGGGATGTCTTTAGAATAACATTTTAACATTTCAAAAATTGAATTTACTAGAGTATCTTTTTCTTGATAACATTTATTATAAGTTTTTGTTGCTAAATCTTTGTCGCCTGTCGCAATTATAATCTCTCTGTCAATAGCTTCTTTATCGAGTTTTCCGTTAACAACGTATTTATATTTCTTAGCAGTACAAAATACGTATTCCTTTAAAGTACTATCTTCTGAAAAATCGCCTTTTCTTGCTTTCAGAACTAGTTCTTCTTTGACACCTATTTCTTTAAGACAAGCGTCTATAACCTTCCTAAACATTTCTAATTGTTCTGGTGGTGAGTGTATTGTAATAGGGGCTACCTAAAATGAAAAAAATGTTTTAAGAATGGGTTTTCATTTCATGACGATGAAATAATCACGAAATTACCAACAAATTAAATAACAGGCAAACTGAGACGTTTTATTTCATAAATCAAATACCGTGGTGGATGGCGGTGAAGCGGGGAAGCGCAGATTGGTCTTGCTCTGCGACTGCCGCGGTTGGTTTGTCGCGTAATTATGAAAGTGTCCGCGGTAGGAGCTGTAGCTATTTTGCACTTTTACAAATTTATTATTTCGAGAAAACGAAAGAAACGTAGTTGCAAACGAAGGTATTGGGTTTACAAGCTGCTCCAAAAAAGGAGTACCGATGGAACTTTCGTATTATTTAACAGAGATCACTATACTCCTTACTTTTCATATTTCACAACGGTGGGCGGTTTTCAATTTCATAAATATACTTTTCGGTATCAAAATCCATTTTTTTATTATTCGCTCACACCACGAAGTAAAAAATAAAAAATACTCTCGAAATTATTCTAAATCACTTAAATCTGCAAGAACTTGCATTGTCGTGCGTAGTCTCTCTACAAAGTCCTTAGATTAAAGAGACCGGAGACGTAACATTGTACATCGCGCACGTTGTCTATTCCAACCATAAGTAACCCACCAATTAAAAGTAATTGTGTCTACGACGCCACCCGAATTGCTCCGAAATTTCTATTCTACGCTTGTCTCCGCGTGTGTGAATCATTATGGATCGCCGTTTTTTGAATTAATTGTGGGTGTTATTATCAATTTAAAGTGTTTTAGTTATTCAATTTTAAGTTAAAAATGTCCCGATGTATCGTGAAAAATTGTATATACAAATAATATAAGTGCCAATGTTATGAAAAATAAGAAATATATTCGATTTCAGCGGTAAATATTCATTAACGTTTTGCCATAAAGTCGCCATGGTCCTTTGAGCTAAATACTTCAGCTCCGCATTAAGGGGTTTCAATAAATATTAAGCATCAAGTACATAATATTTCAGAAAATAGATTTCATAATCCATAAATTTACAAAAGAGCAAAACTTTAAAAATTTAATCTAAATAAGAAAAAAATTGGTATTGTTACTAACTAAATTTTGTTTTTAAAAAGTAGTTCTATAAGAATATTTACTAAAGGTGGTTTTTAGCCCTTTTTGGTAAATACATAAGAAGCAAAGAAGCATAGTTACTAGTGAAATTTTATTTTATAAGGTATTTTTACAAGAATATTAAATCGGAAGTGATATTTGAATCTTAAGTCTTAAAACAAAGTAAAACATGCAATATGATCTAGTATAAGCATCAAAAATACTAAAGTTGCGGAAGTTAGTCATATTTTTAATAAAATGTTACATTATAAACTACTAAACAATTCTAAAAAAAAATCTTCGTTTACTAAAAAAATCTAAATTTTAGCAATATTTATTATTCAATTGAATGCGGTTTCAAAGATAACAGGATTAAAAAATCCGAATCTCTAAATTTTGGAGCTAAATGCTCGGATAAAAGCAAGCGACCGATAGGGGTTACAAAAATAGTCCATTTATCGTTTATTTTTTTTATGAAAATCGATTTTTCCGTTTTAATTAATCGATTATTTTCGATTAATCGAACATTTTCAATAAATTATTTTTTAAGATAATGGAATAATCGATTATAAAGGAATTACAAAAAGTAGATTTATTCAAAATATACGATTGAATGAAAATAATCGATATTTTAGAAAAATCGATTTATTATTTATTCGGCTTTTTAAATTAATCGATTATTTTCGTTTTACCGAATATTTTCGATTAACCAAATATTTTCGATTATTCGATTATTTTAGATCAATCGATTATTTTAGATTAATCGATTATTTTCGATTTTTCTAAGGTATTCGAATAATTTGTTTTAAAAGAAATACGAAAAAATAGATTGTATGAAAATAATCGATTGATCGAATATAATCGATTATTTTATGTAATCGATATTTCGGTTATTTTTTAGAATTATCGATTTATCGGTCAATCAGCTTTTTATTAATCGATTATTTTCAATTTATCGATTATTTTCGATTTTTCAAAGATAATCAAATAATCAATTTTATAGGAAATATGAACAAAGGATTATTTAAAAATAATCGATAATTCATTTATTTTTTTGGAAAATCGATTTATCCTAGAATCGTCTTCTTAATTAATTGGTTATTTTCGCTTAATCGATTATTTTCGATGCTTCTAAGTTGATCGAATAATCGATTTTAAAGGAAATACGAAAAAATAGATTATTTAAAACACTCGATAATTCGTTTTTTTTTTTCGACTATTTTTGATTTTTTCAAAGATAATCAAGTAGTCGATTTTAAAGGAAATACGAACAAAAATAAATTGGTTGAAAATAGTGATTGATCGAAAATAATCGAAAATAATCGATTATAATTAATGATCGATAATTTATTTCGATAATCACCCATCCCTAGCGACCAAATGACTTTTAATAGGTTTAATGGAAAACTTTTTTTTAACACATTACTGTTATTTTGCGCATGTTATGATCTAATTTAACAGTTTTCCATCATACGAACTTGCCTCATTACTGTTAAAACTCGACCTAACATGTACGTATAACGTAAACTTTCAATCATAGCACCCAATGTCTGAACATGTCAACAAATCACAGTCCACGCGGTCTCCGCGTTCGCGTGAAATATGTTGGAAAAACAAAAGTTCAAATTGTCAGGAATGCTTGAAAATCAAAAGTTTGAGGCCCTATCCTTGGCTATCATTTTCTAAAAGACGTTTACGCTTTAGCATAATGCGAGCGATTCGCTATTCTTGTGTACGTTTTTAAAACGAGGTTTTACAGCGAGCGGTATTTTTCACACGTTTTCAAGGATTTGGCCAATGTCACCTTTATGTCACTTTCAGGATGACTAACAATATAGTTTGATTTTAATAAATTCTAGGTTGACTACTTTTTATCAATACCTACAAAGTATCTAATTTCTTATAAATATGGTTTGCAGTATACTAAAAACGTCTAATTGCTCAGAATTTCTTTCAAATATTAATCATTGAACCATTACAAACCTTGGAAGATAAGAATCCTCAAAGATTCTGACATGCAGAGAGAATGAATTTTTTTAAATTAAATTGATATAGAATGAATATTCTGTGTAAGAATTTGATTGTTAATACATGTATGTTTTATTTACAGATTTGCATGCGGTTTCTTGCAAGCTTTTCTGTGCCACACGTTGTGTCAAGAAATTTTAACAATTTTGTAAAATTGCCACAAATTATTAAAGAACTAAATAAGATAAGGAAAGTTATTATTTAAATTAATTTTGTACCATAAAAACCAGGTTTTTTATGACGTACGATTTTCCTGGAATTATAGGTTGCATTGACTGCACCCGTATAGCTATTTTTCCGCCAAAACTTAACAATTCAGTTTATCCAGAACATTTATATAATTACGTGATTAGAAAAAATCATCATTCAATAAATTTACAATTGGTTTGTTGTAATTAAGTTACGTAATCCCTATTTTTTATGGCCTGCACATTACTTGAATTCAACGATATAGATACGAGTAGATTACAGTGATGCCAGATATATTAATTATTTGCTTGTTAAAAACGTACACGTTTTAAAAAACGAATGCTCATAGATTGCCAGTCAAGAATATAGATTTTAAAAACTACTCGCTTTCCAACCACTCACTTTCGAAAACAGTTCATTTTTTTTAGCGATTGTCGAGGATAGCCGTCTTGTCATGTTGTCATTAACAGGGTCAATGATACATATATAGTTATATAGATTGCTCAAAGCTGGTCGTTTGCGAGCGGCCATATTGCCTGGCAAATATTTATTAATTTGAATCGGTTTAGCAAAAATGTGTTTTAAAACCAATTTTCAGCGTTTGGATATTAAAAAAAATAATTGCTTACATTTTTACTTCAAGGCATAAGCTTATGTTTATTTTGAAAAATATATATGATCAATCTATGTAACTATCTATTTCATTGACCTTGTCAGATCACCAGGCCTACAGGGTTGTCATAATTTTTCCATATCATAACCTGTCAAAACCCACTGGTTGTCATTCAGTTTGGAATGCCTAATATTGTCGAGCGATCTCGCGCGTATCTGGTTGCCATGTCAAGTGTCAGCCATGAATTAGGCATTCCAACGACCTGTCCAAATGGCTACCAGTGGGTAATGACAGTTTAGATATGGCAACCCTGTTGTCATGTTGTCATTAACAGGGTCAGTGATACATATATAGTTATATAGATTGCTCAAAGCTGGTCGTTTACGAGCGGCCATATTGTCTGGTAAATATTTATTAATTTGAGTCGGTTTAGCAAAATGTGTTTAAAACCAATTTATAGCCTTTAGATATTTAAACAAAATAATTGCTTATATTTTTACTTTAAGGCATAAGCTTATGTTTATTTTGAAAAATATGGACGATCAATCTATGTAACTCTATCTATTTCATTGATCTTGTCAAATCACCAGGCCTACAGGGTTGCCATAATTTTGCCATATCATAACCCGTCAAAACCCACTGGTAGCCATTCAGTTTGGAATGCCTAATTGATACTAGACATTCAACGAGTGACAGTAGGGTCGCTCTACAATTATTAATCTAACCTGTGTTAGTAACCAATGTCACCAACTACCGTACACTTACCACTAACCCTGAGTGAATTCGTGGTATATCCAGCATGAGTAGTGCTTGTATGCTATCTGTTTAGATGAGCACGTTCCTTCCAGTGATAATATTTCTGGTGATTTCTTTTGCTGCTATGAGAATCCCTGTGAGTTCGGTTTGAACTAAACTGGCAATACTGATCACAGCGCATTTTATGTTTAGGTTTAAGGATATCTAAACTGTCAGTTCCCACTGGTAGCCATTTGGACAGGTCGTTGGAATGCCTAATTGGACTGACAACATCGGTAGTCACAAACCTAATTAAAGAACATTCCCTTGTAAAATTCAAGGAAAGATGGGATGGAATAAGTTGCAGACTTGCCAGGGATATTATAAGTTATTCTTATAACACTACAGTAAATAAGTAATTGACTAGACAGAATCTGCGCTTAATCACAGGCATTTTAACTGATCATTGCCAAGTACGGAAGAATCTCCATATCATGGGGTTGTCAGAATCAGCACTCTGCAGGGTGTGCGAACAATAAGATGAGACCATCGAGCACATCCTCCACGATTGCATGACGCTCTCATTTATTAGAAGATTTGTGTTCGGCGAGAATTGGCTAACACCGGTCGATATAAGAGAAGTACTTCTTGGCGACGTTGTCAACTATATTAAATCTGTAAGCTGGCTCGCGAGCTAGGAGGTGCCTATCTACTTAGATGGATGTACAATGGGCCTAGTGAGGCCTAAGTAGCATAAGTTAATCCACACGTTATAGATGCAGATGTAAATATATTTGCTAGGTTAACTTTAATTTCGTATAATAAAAGAAATAAATAATTGAAAATATCGTTCGATATAAACTCTGTTGAAATTAGTAAAGCAACCCGCGATGGCTCCAGGCCGCACAGGTTAGGTAAATTATTTTAGTTGTTTTTTTATTAGAATAGGTACTAGGAAAATATTATTATTTTCTTTAATTTTTTTTACATTTTAGATTCAACCATCTGAATTCTTGTATGGGATTAGACCACCCTTACATAATAATACTATCATATACACTTTACCGTCACAGTTCATACCCGTTCCATTTTTAGTGCTGAAATTGGCATTTTTAAGCTATCAAGTTTAAAAACGCATAGAGCACGTACGATGAAAGTAACCTCGCGGATGAATCTGGAGCTAAAAAGTTCTTATTTGACGGAAAATGAAGTATCTTGAACAAATTTGAAATACCACAAAGGCATCTACTTCATTAATGATACAAAAAAATGATGTTAGGGAAATAACATAAGTTTATGTGGTGGCTATGGCAGTTATGGATTGAAAATGGTCATGAAAAGGCCCTATACAATGGGACCAAATTCTCTGCTAAGAAAATAAGATGGCAAGAAGATTTTAATTTGTGAAAATTTAAGTTCACATTAAATATTGAGGTTGTGAGACAACTTTAATAGCATTGAAAGATATATTTCGGGTTTTATAAATACTATGACAGCATTATTTCAGTTAAATGTTTCAAAATTATAAAGAGAAATATAGCCCTAAAAATATTGTTATGAACGATTTTAAAGTGAGGGGTAAGTTGTCTCTGGTAAGAGAATTGTTTACTAACTCATATAATTTAGATTGAAAATTTTCAGTTCAATAAAACTTGAAATTTATTACATAGGGAACCATTTTTAAATTTAGATTGTTATTTAATAAACTAACACTATAAAAATTTTTTTTAGAGTATTGACTTCTAGTCACCCGCTTACTGGACTTCGTCTGTTGTTTACTTCTGGCATCTTTTTTATTATTTATGTTTTGAGATGAACCACAAGAATTGTAATAACTTTCCGCTACACATTTTTTCTTCTCTCCTTCTTCTTCTTATTCTTCTTTTTCTTTTTGTTTTTGAAGCAATAAATGCAATAGCAAATGTTCGCACGCAGGATGAAGTGATTCAGTTTTAGCGACTCTGTGAGATGCGAAGGTTTTTGCTCGGGCCACACTTTTCGCTAGTGACTACGGAGTGATAAGTTGTGTTTTCGATGTCTACGATGGAGGAGAAACTGATTAAGGCAGTTTGAGAAACAAAACTTCTTTATAACACCTTACGCTGACTATATAAAAATCAAATTAAAATTGCAAATTTAGAATGAATTTACGAAAGAGATTGGTCTTTTGAGAAGCTTTTTATGAAATAATGTTGCAATTACTTAGTCTTTAGAATCTCATTCTGAACTTGGTATCGCAGACTTTTCTTACCTGCTACAATCTGCGGGCTCAGTATGTGCGCGACCTAACTGATATACTGTGTAAGGGGTTTTCTCGCCACAGAGAAAACGGTTCCTTACGAATGACGCTGGTTACGGGCGGTTCTCGAGCGCCAGATTTTTGGTAATGGTTTACTCCACAAACTCTCGAAACGGCGTCGAAAGTACTCGGGTAGCTACAGATGGAGATGAAAAATTCCAGGGGTCAAAGGTTACTTAGACACAGGTAATAGTAGGCCACAAGTAACGGGCTTTAATCGTTGCTTGGGCTGGTACAGAATTAATCACTAGCTGAAATATAAGGGGGAAATAAATTTAGGAATTAACAACCAGTAATACGGCAGGTTAACATTGACACATATATTGTGGTTAACTATTTACAAAAAAAAAAAATAAATTAAATATTTCAACGCCCACCCTCACGGTAATATGTACAAACCCTGAACAAAAATAAACAAACAAAACGGACGGAAATGACTTTCGAGTAGTCTCAATCAGACGTAAAGAAAAAAAAAATGAATACTTATAATTATCACGGTCGCAGTAAAAGTTTATTATTGAATTGTTTATTCTGTTGTTGAGTTATAAATGCAATTTGCTATTTCATTCGGCAGTATTATTTCGGACGTAGCATAAATTAACTGTTAATTTTTCTAATTGGTATTTACAATCAAATGTAATTGAATGCTTCAGTAAAACAAAATATCATATTGGTTGCAGAGAATGCGAGGAGACAGGTTCGGGATAATACTAATTCCAGAGCTGAAACCGGGACCCTATAAGAGGTTTACTCACTAGTGGTTGGAAAGTAAAACCAACTAACAACTGGGATAGTACATTATCCCTGAGTGAACCGATCGTAATCACGAGCCGCTTCAAACTGGGGAATGATACTATTTAATGTCAATTGAATAAGTGAGTTTTACATAAAACAAATTTAATAACCGGGATAGCACACTATCTCTGAATGAGGCGATCGTAATCACGAGCCGCTTCAGACAGGGGAATGATACTATTTGAGTTCACTTACAATAACGGAGACTAACGCAAATGAGGGTTTCAGACGGAAAATAAACTAATAACCGGGATAGTACATTATCTCTGAATGAGACGATCGTAATCACGAGCCGCTTCAGACAGGGGAATGATACTATTTTATTTCTGTTGAAATAACGGAGATCTAACGCAAATTAATTTTTAGATATAGAATGAACTAATAGCCGGGATAACACCTTATCTCTGGATGAAGCGATCGTAATCACGAGCCGCTTCAAACTGGGAATGATGCTATTTAAATTTTCTTAAAATTTGCAGTTCGGAGAATAAAACAAAAGAAAATGCCTCGTCGCAATTCTACAAATATAACCAATCAAAACATTAGGCAATTCCCAAACAGTTCCAATCAATTATTTATTGGATAATGTTTTAATAAACTGTATTATTTGTTCACGAAAATTTCTTGCAGTAGGAAAAATTGACTATAAGACTATATTTACGATTAAATGAAAAATAAACTAATTAACGGTTAAGCCTTCAAATAAACTAAAATGAAATGTATAATTTATTCACATAAATTTCCAGTAGTAGGAAAAATTAACTATACGACTATGTTTACAATCGAATGTAAAATAAATTGTTTAACGGTCAAAACTTTAAATAAACTAAAATGAAATGTATTATTTATTAACGGAAATTTCCAGTAGTAGGAAAAATTAACTATACGACTATATCTACGATTGAATAAAAAAATAAATTGTTTAACACTCAAAACTTTAAATAAACTAAAATGAAATTTATTATTTACGGAAATTTCCAGTAGTAGGAAAAATTAACTATACGACTATATTTACAATCAAATGTAAAATAAATTGTTTAACGGTCATAACTTTAAATAAACTAAAATGAAATGTATTATTTATTAACGGAAATTTCCAGTAGTAGGAAAAATTAACTATACGACTATATCTACGATTGAAATAAAAAAAAAATAAATTGTTTAACGCTCAAAACTTTAAATAAACTAAAATGAAATTTATTAAGAACGGTGTATTCTAACAAGAATAAATTAAAGTATTTTTAAATCAAAACAAATGAAATCCTAACTCAACACGGAATAAATAAAATTAAATCGGTTTCAAATAGCACGGCTTAAAGTCTCGGGCACGAAAGAAATTATCAAAAAAAACTATCAACAAACTTTACCTCGCGGCGTGAAATAAATTTTCGGTATCGTAGGTAATTAGCGTTTAATCGACTATTAGATTTAACGGTGTCAAAGCAAGTCTGTTCGATAAATCGGTATTTTAGGAACTAAAAATTTCAATTCAATCTCGGACCACGTTTTAGTCGTCGCATGCCCTACCACATCAGAAAATCCCACCATTAAAACGCGCGCAGGCACAGTACCTCGACGATGGTTTGAACAGCGATAAAACTGATGATATACAGGGCATATCCACGAAGTTGAAATTAATTGAAAATCGAAATTAATACCCGGAATTAATTAATAATAATAATAATGAAAATTGACTTCATTACAACTGATACACTAGGCTATTATTGGGCTTTTACAAAAAAAGTAAGCAAACTCGAATAAATAAAAAGCATTTATTAGGCATATATCTATTTATAAAATGATTATTAGGTACACTAATGTACCTATAGGTACATCAATCTGCCTATACAACGACCATAGGAACCGCTTTGTAATAACATTTCACCATTTCAAAAACTGTATTTACTAAATTATCTTTTTCTTGATAACATTTATTATAAGTTTCTGTTGCAAAATCTTTGTCTCCTGTCCCAATTATAACTTGTTTATCAATAGCATCTTTAATAATTTTTCCGTCTACAACGAATTTATGTTTCTGAACAGCACAAAATACGTATTCCTTTAAAGTACTGTCATCTGAAAAATCGCCTTTTCTTGCTTTCAGTATTAGCTCTTTATTGACATGTATTTCTTTTTCACAAGCATCTGTACCCTTTTTAATCTGTGCTATTTGCTCTGGTGGTTGGTGAACTGTAACAGGGGCTACCTAAAACAACAAACACTTATTTCAACGAGTTTCATGAATTGGGTCATTTGTTATCATTTCACACACAATTTAAACGATGACAAAAATCAAAAAATTACCAAAAAAATTTTATAATGTGTAAATAACGCAGCCGTTTCATCACCGAGCTATTTCATCGCTGTTTGAAGCTTCGTTTACAAGGCAATTTTACTTGTTGTTTTAAGTGTACACAACACTGGTAAGCACAAGAAAACAACAGAAAACAACTATATTGAATCCAATTATTTTTATTCTAAAATATAAGTGGATTGAGTACGTCAGTGTCTAAAACTTCAATTTTTGTTGATTCGTTGTTCTTCATGCTGGTAATGGTTTTATTGTTGGGACAGAATAACTGGTGTTTTTATTAAATACTAAATAGTAACAATCCCGATTATCATGGGGAAAGAATGAAGCAAATTTTTAAAATGAGTGAGTCTTGTCGCATGTCATGAGATCACCAATGATTTGATAGAAAAAAATTTGAATCTTTTAAAAGTAGCTCAATTCGATGGGTTAGTTGATGAATCCATAAAATTTCGTATCCGACACGTAGGTACGTTGGTTCTTTTTAATTAGACAATTATTCGCGTTTCAAATTAATTTTTGCGCGCCTGTCATTTGTCACCTATAAGTAGGATGTTTGTTTATTTACATGTGTGTGTTTTGGGCAGGATTCTGTATTTGTGATTTTTAACTGTTTTTAGATAATATTCTCACTAGTAATACCACTAGAGGTCAAAACATTTCCTGATATTAATTTGACCTCGCGTGGCATTCGGTAAGAAAATTCCACGCCGCATTATGGTTAAAAATTAAATATTTTTAAAATTTATTTTTCGTTTCTCAACAATGCAAATTATTTTCTCCAAGTCACCAGTGAAACATAAAAGGTGTTGTCGCCTTGATTGTTGAGTTGTTATGGTAACTAAGTGAGACCCTAACCTCGAATATAATTTCAGTTTTGAAGTTGTCAAGCGGCCCGACGTAAAAAAATGTTTCGCTGCAATTATTAAGGCCTTCAAATTGCTTATTTCTACTCATTGTAGTTGCATGGGAATACCATTTGAAAATAGAAAATAGTATATTCTTTAATTTTACGTAAGTTTTGAATAACTACAAGTGGTAGAAAATTGTTTTTCTGCGTTTTTATTAACATGCGTTATGAGCGCTTTAAAATGGAATGAAATTCATAACCAGCGTCAGCAAGCATCAATCGTAGGAGGCTGTGATCATTGTATTTTGACAGTTCAAAACATTAAATAACTCGCGTTTTGTTGCGATAAAGAATATTGCACAGCAAGTAAAACCAACAAAATTACCTATTTGTTTAAAAATGAATCGATTTGAAAATCATACGCTATGCAAAATATGCGTGAAATTGTTCGATGTAATGATCAATCATTGCACCATGACTTACTTACTCGGATTAATAGAGGATTGTGGCTCCAACTTGAAAAATGAAAATTTGTTCCGAATTGTCCACGAATATTTGCACCTAAACTACGCAAAATTCAAAGTGCTGAATGGGAAAAAGGTGAATAAATTAGTGTCTAAATATTATATATATATATATATATATATATATATATATATATATATATATATATATATATATATATATATATATATATACTCGACCAGCGTATCATGTGACATCCAGCAAAAATTTTGACTTTGTGACATCCACCCTTTGCAAAGACTTTAGGAAAAAAATAAAAATATGACTTCTTTTAATTAAAAAAATATTATGGCTGAGCGAAAAATATCACAACCATACACATTTTAAAAAAATAAAACGTCCTATCGTTGTGAGATCCAAAGTATACACGGTATATATTTTTATTAACAACACTTTGTGACATCCAGAAAAACCTTGCATCTTGTGACATCCAGTTGTTACGTCACAGTATACCATTTCTACAGAAAAACTGCCATTCTTATAACATCCAGCAAGTATATAGATACATTTTTAAATTAAGTATCTTATTACATCCTGAACATTTAACACGTTCAGCGCCAAAGCCGACCCTCAAATTCTACGATTTCTTATTGTTTTTTATTCCAATGTGATTTCTTTTGTTGTTTTGTATGTGATAAAATAATTCATTCCATTTTCAAATTATTTTCTTTTTAGTTTTCGATTGTGTATATTTTTAGATACACTGGCCCAAAAAATAGTTTTCGATGAAGTAACTTCTTGATATTTTTTTGATATGTGGAAATCCCTTATAGAGATTCGGTACAGGTTCTCCCTTTCCCAATAGTTTTACCCTTTACCCACTAAAATCACCACCTGAGCAAGTTATCGCCGGCCTCCTGCTAATATCTTTTACATGTTCGTTGGAACTACTTTAAGTATCTATCGACCTTATATGGTTGATTCTCCAGTTTCAAGTGCATTAACACGACCAGTTTGCAAACCTAACCTAATATTACCTGAGAAGTACCCAAAACATAAATCCAGCGGTCTTTATTATTTTTGCGCAAAGACTACACTCACCGATTTAAAATTCGATCCATTCAAAATAATGATTTATTTAAAAATGCTCTAACTTTCAAATGCGGAGGCTGATTGATTTGAAGCTTTTAGCAAATTTTAGATAAAATACTGTAGTTTTAACATTATTATTCGGACATGTAAAAGTAATTTAGTACTCGCCGGATATACAGGGGGAAAAGAAAACAATTTTTCCTACGACCACTTAGGAAAGTGACACATATCACACTATATAGACCTATGGAAAGTGCCCTATATCACACGCGTATGAATAAGAATTTACTTTCCACCCAAGTGAGAATATGCTACTTTCCGCAGTAGCTGTCAGAAAATGTCAAACACATAATTTCTATTTTGATCTATGTAATGTCCATATTAATACTAAAATCGATATGATTGTTAAATTATTGTAAATTAGATCCTAGATATTTATCTTTAACAATTATTTTTAAAATAATTTTAAAATAACTAAGATATATTTGCTTTTTATTCTGGTTAAACACATAAGCGATTAGATCAATCAATTACCGTAAGGCCTGTTAGCTCAGTTGGTTAGAGCATCAACTTTGCAATTTGAGACCGTCCAACGACCGCGATCGAATCCTGGCTGTGCCAGAATTTTTTTTTTATTTTTTTTTTATTTTTTTTTATTTGTTTAGAAATTATGAAACTTTAATAAATACGATTATTGTTGATTATTTTTTTAAATACATTTTAATTATTATAATAATCTGGTTTTACATTTTTTGATGAAATTATTTTGTGGTCGTAGGAAAAATATTGTACATCACTTGTGTGAAAAGTGATTTTCCACACTCGTGTGATAGTCGCACTCGGCTTACGCCTCGTGCGACAATATTTCCCACTCGTGTGAAAAATGTCACTTTCCACACTCGTAATGTAATATACTATTTTCCTCTACTTTTGACACACCGTGTAGGTTAATTCTGCTAGCAGATCTGCACACAATTAACTTTATCAAGAAGACTGATTTGTTTACAACATTTTGTTTTTTTATTTACCCCGATATCTTAATTTGTTTGTGAAATGTGACGGTTTAAAGAAAATGCAACAATCTTAATTTTTTTATTCAGTTTTAGCAGAGTAATACATAATTTTATAAATAACTCAAACAACAAATACACTAATAATTATTACAAATTAATAACGAGTATTTTCCCCACAAACGCGAATAACTGCCTCAATGCGTCATGGCATACCCTCTATTAGATATCGAATTTTCATCTGGTCAATCTGATCCCATTCTTGGACCAAAGCATCTTTTAAAAAATTTAAAATACTTGGAGAAGGAACTCGGTTATGAACTCGTCTGTCCATCATGTCCCAGACGTGCTCAATTGGATTGAGGTCTGGGCTACGTGATGGCCAGTTCATCCTCTGAATTTCTGTTTCATCTAAATATTGAGATACAATCCTCGCAATATGTGGTCGAGCGTTGTGATGCATAAACATGAATTCGTTTCCTATAAATGGTGCAAATGGAATTACATATGGATCTAGCACATCACGAATATATCGGAAAGCTGTCATTGTTCCGCCGCCAACAATGACTAAATCAGTACGAGCTTTCATGCTTATGCCGCCCCAAACCATTACCGATCCTCCTTCATAACTGAGTCTTGTGGAAAAATTTGCTTGGTCAAACCTTAGGCCTCTTCTTCGGTATATTCTTTCACGGCCATCAGGAGAACGTAAACAAAACCTTGACTCGTCAGAAAATTAAATCTTACTCCATTCATCGATATTCCAATGTTGATGCTCCCTGGCAAATCGAAGACGTGTTGTTCTGTGATTCCTAAATAACTCCGGACCAGTTGCAGGTCTTCTGGAGCTACTTGACGTACTTCTTCTAAACGATTTCGAACCATGACAGCAGTAGTATTTATTTTTCGCAAAACATTTAATGTTACAAAACGATCATCTCGAACATTTGTAGAACGTCGTCTGCCAGATCCTCTTCGTCTCGAAAAACTACCAGTTTCATTAAAACCTTGTACAGCTCTCTGGACGCTACACCTTGTAACACCCAATATTCTAGAAGTATAATACTGAGTGCTACCGTCTTGTACCAGAGCAACTGCTCATGTTGCATCAGTAAGCGTTAAAACCATGATATTATGCTGATAATGAATAATAATGAAACTGCAATTACCAAGTAACGAATATTTGACAGTTGTCATATTGTGAGTTGGCCACAGCACTCTACTTATTTTGTAGTTCATTCTCCACCGTCATTTAAATTATGATCGTTTCTAAAATGTAGCATTTTCTTTAAACCGTCACATTTCACAAAAAATTAAGATATCGGGGTAAATAAAAAAACAAAGTGTTGGTAACAAATCAGTCTTCTTGATAAAGTTAATTGTATGCAGATCTACTAGCAGAATTAACCTACAGGGTTTGTCAAAAGTAGAGGAAAAAATTGTTCTCTTCCCCCCCGTATATCCGGCGAGTACTAAAT